ACCTTCCTAATGCTACAACTGTTTCAGTTCCTCATATTGTGGTGACCTCCACCAATAAAATAATTTTCATTGCAGCCAGGCATTGGTGGCACACGCCTTTAATCCCAGCACTCAGGCGGCAGAGGCAGGTGGATCTCTGTGAGTTCGTGACCAGCCTAGTCTACAAGAGTTAGTTCCAGGACAGCCCCCAAAGCCACAGAGAAACCCTGTCTCAAAAAAACCAAAAAAATCATTTTCATTGCTACTTCATAACTGTAATTTTGCTACTATTATGAATTGTAATGTAAATATCTATGTTTTCCAATGGTCTTAGATGATCCATGTGAAAGGGTCACTTGACCCCCAAGTTGCCCAGCTTCCAGGCTCACAATTCCAGATGAGTTTCAAAGATATTCAGTCTGTTTCTTCATTAGAGAAATGAGATCATGGTCTTGCCTATTTTAAAAGATTGTTGAGCTTAAAACTGCTTTGCCTTGGCAAACAACTCTTAAAAATCTCAGTGGTAATATTTATTCAATTTTATTATGATTATACAAAGGCCAGGAAGAGGAAAAATGTGCAAAAGAAACAGAGAAGAGAATATCAAAAAGACCAGAGAGGAGGGAGACATAATGAGAAAGGTGTCATGGAAACCAAGGGCCACTTAGAGGCCAAGTACTTCCGACAAAACAAAACGCCATTTTCAGCCCATAGTAAGCAGAGAAGGTGGAGGCAGAAGAGAGACAATAAGCCCATAGCTTGAAAGGAAGAGTATTATAGCTCAAACACCCTCCCTGGTCAGCTTTGTTTAGCAGTCTCAGAGGTCTCATCTGAACACCCAAGTACCCAATCTGAGAAAAATGGATTTATTTTGCATAATGACAAGGATACTGTCTCATAAAATGAAGTAAAGGAGAGAGAAAAGAAGGGAGGAAGAAAAGAGGAAAGAAAGGAAGGAAGGGAGAAAGGAAGAAAGAAAGGAAGGAAGGAAGGAAGGAAGGAAGGAAGGATTTCAGACTAGCAAAATAAAAAAATACAGTTTTGAATGTGCACAACAGAGGCTGGGGAGGGGCATGAGAAAGGCCAAAGGATCCTAGAATGGATTTTCTAAGCATTGCTCTAGCTCCAGTGAGGTGGGTCATGAACAGCCAGCACTTGTTTCTTTTCATTTCTGTTTCTACCCTTCCTGGGGCCAGAAAACAATGCTGACAACATAATCTGTGTCTTTGGACCAATCATTCGACAAGTATTTGAAGGGTGGAGTTGAACAAACTTGATCTGGAACATGGAGCTTTTTCTTTTTTAACTGTGCCAGATAGACATTGGGGTCAGGTATTCAGCAAGGGATGACATGATGCTTTGTCTTCATTGTCAACCAGACTGGATTTAGAATCACCAATGGAAACACATTTCTAGGGATGTCTCAGATTGGGTTTCCAGAAAAGTTCATCTGCAGAGGGGAGACCCATCCTGCACCATCCCTCCCACTGGCTAAAAAGTCCCACCTTAAAAAGGAGAAAACAGGAGCATCAACATGGCCTCTCTCTGCTTCCTGACTGAAAGCGCAGTGTGACCAACTGCCTCGCGCTCCTGCTGCAATGCATTCTGTTCTCCACCATGAGGGACTGCACTGCCAAACTGTGAGGCAAAACAAGCCCTTCCTTTGGTCAAGCACCTTGTCACAGCATTGAGGAAAGTAACTAATACAGCAAGTGTCCAAAGGGGCAGGTGGGAAAAAAAAGTTGCAACTTGTGCAGACTGGAAAATATTGAAAGG